TCCTGTGATGTTGAATTTATACTATTATTTAAAAATCCTGTATTTGTATTATTATCCTGTGGTAGTGGATTTATATTATTATTATTCATCCATTGTAGATCTGTGTGAGTCTGTTGTGGAGATTCAGTAAAATCTAGTATGTTTATATTATTATCCTGTGATGTTGAATTTATACTATTATTTAAAAATCCTGTATTTGTATTATTATCCTGTGGTAGTGGATTTATATTCAACCATTGTGGATTTATAGTAAGTTGTGGATCTATATCCAATGATTGTGAATTTGTATTTCCCAGTGATGCTGAATTTATACCATTATTTAAAAATCCTGTATTTATATTATTATCCGATGAATTTATGTGAGTCTGTGGATTGTCAATTGGTTGCTCGTATCTAGGCAACATTTTTTTAAAAAAATTTATTGACGAAATATCAATCAAGTGAAATGTTTTTAAACAGAAACTTTTAATTATATCCATATTTATATTAAAAATATATTTTCCTTTTAAAAATTTTGCGACGGAAAAAATTTACAAGTTTTTATATAGATTAATAATATAAACAAACAAACAAATAAATAAACGTTATCAAGCAAGACAGTTATTATTTCATGTTTGTTATTTGCTAAACTTTTTCTTCAAAAAGATAAAGAAAGAACTTTAAAATTTTTAACTGTCTAAAAATCTAAAAATTAGATTTAAAATTAAATCAAAAGGTCAATTTGTCTTTTATTCAATGCAAATACTAACTGATTAATAATAATAATAATTAACATTTTTATCATTTTTATTTAATTTTCCGAATGTAGGTTACACAATACTTGCGGAAATTATGTCACATTGTGTTGGTTTTTGTTTAAGCTCTTTACCACGCTATTAGATGACGTGTATCACATATATATTAATGTTCCGATAAATCTGTATAATAAATAATCCATCTATAAGAGCACGATAAAAAGTAAATTCGACTAATTAATCTGGAATTTTTTATTTATTTTCCCTTAAAAATTTCATCATGAATTTTCCCAACAAATGGTTTTTTTGCTAATGATAATAATTTACATGATACCTTTTTTTTTTAATGTTAAAAATTAAATATAAATATAAAAGCAAAGGAATATTTTAAAAACAAAAGAAAAAGGATAGAATATTTTTTTAAATACAAATTTTTGTACAAAGAAGCAATAGAATGTATATACACAATAAATTTCGGTTTAACGGATAGTTTGGGCAATTAGGGAAATTTTCCAAAAATCCGTTAAACCGAGATTTTAATTACTATCCGCTAAATCGAGATTCACTGTGTATAATAGTAAACATCACCGTCGAACATTCACTTGTAGGCGTTGAAAGTCATTAAACATTATTTGTAGTGACGAATTGGTTTCACATAATGTGATGCTTTCCTTCATATTCATCAGTATATACATACATTTTATTTTATCAGAGATCTTTAAACAATTAGACAGCTAAATGTGTAATATTAATAGTAACATAATGTGTATTAGTATGTTTTGATTCCGAATAAGGACCATTAATTTGTGCATATTTTTTTGCCTCAATAATTGTACCCTCTGCTACCTATTTTAATCAAAGGCAAATATCAATTAATATCTTGCAGATTCTTTTTTATATTCTGATACTTACTTTTAATTTATCCATCAAACATACGGAATAGGTGTAACATACTAATACCGAAAGGATACGTTTTGGATTCTGCATAAAACATAACGTCAATATGGAATGACTCCTTTCTGTATTAGTGTTAGTATGCTTTACATTGTTTTTGTGCATACGTATTTTTAAACAGGGTGGTGGCAGGACATCAATATATATATATATTTAGAGGTAAGATGACTTTGTAATGTTTTACTAATAGCTTTACGCAAGGGTTTTTTACAAAATCGCTACGCAAAGTTGGTACCTTACATCAGATAATCGGAAAATTAACCTTCTGGCCTTTATCATCATGCGATTTTAGGCTAACCCAGTTTTCAACGTAAAAATATTCTTTGCTAATTTTTTGTAATTAAAATACACAATATAACTCGTCCTTTGTCCTTTGTCTGCTTTATATCCAGAACCTTGAACATAACGGTCAAGATAATATTCCTTCTATTTCCGGTCGAGTTTAAATTTTTTTTACCGCAAATGCATACTACTTTCTTAGGATGTATAACACAAGCGACATATTTGTGCTTGAAAGCCTTTCAAAAATATGTTTCCGACCTGGATTTTTACACTAATGCGAAATATTATTGATCAGCCATAAAAAACGCAATACGACAACCTGACTTTAGTATTAGCCAAAAAAGTTCAAATTTTACGCAAATCAAAACCTGGCCTTATCAGATGTTTCTATGATGGTGACACGTTAGTGTGCTTTACCCCACCTATATATATTTCAAAGAATTCAATAAAACTTGCATTAAATACAACAAGTTTTAGAAAGTAAGGGATTGGTTGATGTAAGCCACATCAAAAAAGTAATGGTTTTGTTTGTTAATATCCTTCTCATTCATTAATTAAGTGGAAAAGTAATAGTTCTTTTATTTATCAAAGGAATTAATAATTTTATTAATCGAAAAAGTAATGGTTTATCAGTATTGTTTGCTAAGATAATTAATCGAATAAGTAATTATCTGCTAGGATCCCCTTCATTAATTGATCAAAAAGGCAATAGTTCTTAAAATATAACAATTTTATCTTGGTATCCCTTAAACTGTCTGCCGTCCAAATTTGGACGCTAATTTTTTTTCATAGTAATATCAACTAGAATACTTTGATGTTAATAATTAAATTTTTTTTAAATTATATCAAAATATTATATTTTCTAATATCAATAAAATGAACAATAATTA